CCGTAGTCCCCTCCTTATTCACCATCAAATTGAAATTTCAGATTAATGTAAGGAAGTTTGTATCTTCTTTTGACCTGAATTTCAGGGTTCTAAGGGACCATAGAAAGGATAAATCTAAAGTTAGTCTAATTGGAAAACCCCCAAAAAAAAAAAAAAACAGTGTTTGGAAAGTAGAAACAACCACCATAGTGAATGGGGTGTTAGGTGGGTTTTCCACTATCGAGGAGGAAGGAAGAGTTTGGTTTAGGGGTTTTTTGACTTTTTTTGGGTGGGTCAATTATTTTTTTTTTTAAAAACATTTTTTTATTTTTTTTTTAATTTTTTTTTTTAATTTTCTCTCTTATATTAAAAAATTTAAGGATTTATAAAAATTATTAAATTTTTGTTTTTTATTTTTTTCAAATACCACACGCTCACCACGCAATCCATCTCATACACAATTACGCATAGTTAATGGTATAAAAACAAAACACAACACAACACAAAATACCCACAACACACACCTTTTATTTCCTTCCCCCAAAAAAAATAAATTAAAATTTTAAATTTTTTTTCCAATATTATTATTATTATTTTATTTATTTTCTCACTCCTATATAATAACAATAACAATAGTATTAATAATAATAATAATAATAGTAACAATTATAATAAAATTATCTATTGGGGATATCTTAATTTTTTCGCTATTAAAAACACTCTTGATCTTATTTTGTTTTATTTATCAAGAGAAATTGTATGTGTAAAATCAAAATCAAAATTTAAATAACATTTTTTTTGTATTTTATTTTTAATTTTGTTTGTTTAAAAATACATTCATTAACTTGGATACATTCTTTATATTTACTTTATTTGTTTTTTTGATAAATTTAACAAATTATTAATATCAATATTAATTTTTATTATTTTTAATTACATATTCATAAATAATATAGGATCAAGTTATTTTTTAAAAAATATATTATATATAAAATTTATAATTTAAAGAATGTCTCATAATGATCATCCTTCATCTCCAATGGTAGATGATGATCCACCAATATCAACCCATTCAAGTCATCATATAAGTTCATCATCCTCAACCTCATTTCACAATATAAATAATAGTAGTAATAGACAACATCCAAATAGTAATCGAATGAATATACCAAATAAATCATTAAATAAAATAATGGGTGGTAATGGTAGTTATGGAGTAGAGTCATCACCAATGTCAATGTTTGTAAACTCATCATTATTCGATTCACCATCATTAAAGAGTACACCAATTTTTGGAACTACACCAACTGGTACCACGCCAACAAGTGGCAGTTTTAATAATCCATTTTTAGATCACCGTTTCGATTCATCGTTCAGCAATTCGCCAACACGTTTGTTTTTCGATTTTAGTTCAAGTATGTATTCTAAATCGCCTCAACATCTTTTACCACATCCATTAACCCCACGTGGTTCCAATGCCCTCAAACAGGGTGACGATTCAATTATAATGGAGGATGGCTCATTGATTCAAGGTATTAATAATATTTTAAGACCGTCCAATTCAACATCACCAACCAATACAACTGTAAATAGTCCACGTGGTGGTTATAGAGGACCAGCACACCAATTTTTCCATCAATCACCACCAAGTTATAATGGTGGTTTCCAACAATTATATCAACAACAACATTACCAACAACAACAACAATTACAACAACAACAATTACAACAACAACAACAGCAACAACAACAACAACAGCAACAACCACCACAACAAAATGGCCAAAGCAATCCACAACAAAATATCCAACAACAAAATCATAGCCACCACCAATCCTCATCATCCCCATCCCCCTCCCATAATGGCCATCACCACCCAACCCACACATCCAAACAACATCAACAACAACAACATTTAAATTCTGATAACCACCACCGTAATGTAAAGCATTTGGATGGCAACGTATCAGATAAAGAAAAGGATAGTAGATATACTTTTCAAACTATTTCATCAATCTCAAGTACTCTCCATTCTATGAATCACAGTGCCGATCATGTAGTAGAATCAGATTCAGAGATTGCAAGTGAGGATGATCGTTTATCATCATCTTCAAGTACCGGTTCATCTAGAGCATCGTCTCCAGAATTTGAAATTGAAACTTCAAAAGATATCCAAATGATGACAGATTCTGAAGATAGTTTCCAATCATCAAGCAATATAATGTTTTCATATAACTCTAATAATAGTACCCCACCACAACATTCAATAAATCACCATCAAACCATTTCACATCTTCACCATCACCACAGTACCAATAACTCACCAAGACAATATTCCTCACCCTCGCTCCACCATCACCATCATAGTAACAGTATGAATAGCAGCCCATCAAACTCTAATAATATAATACCAACCCATCCAGCACCACCCACATTAATGTTAAATAATAATAATAGTAATAATATAAATATAAATAGCACTAGCAATAGTAATAGTCAAAATAACCAAAGTCAAAATGATTTAGGAATTGTTGTAAATATTAATCATAATCATCAAACAAATAGTACCACCAATAGTATAAATAATATTATAAATAATCATAATAACCATAATAATCATAATAATAATAATAATCATCATAGTAGTAACAATATCAATATAGCAGGAAACAATAGTAATAGCAATAATAGTTTTAATAATAACAATTCCAATAACAACAATAGTGGTAGTGGCAATAGTAATAATAGTAATAATTATAGTGATGATAACGACAACGATCAAAAGAAAAAGAAAAGAAAGAAAGATTTTGACGATGGTGGAAGATGGTGCCATCAATGTAAAGCACTCAAGTATCAATATATTCAATGTCAAGCATCAGACTTGGGTAAACCTAAATGTAATAAGAGATTTTGTTCAACTTGTTTATTGAAACATTACAACAGAGAAGTTAATATTTTGAAGGATGGTCCACCCTGGGAATGTCCATTCTGTCTCAATACTTGTATTTGTGCTGCCTGTAAAAGAAAAAGAGTAACATCATAATAAAAAAAAATCAATTTTTATAACAGTAATAATAATCATAATAATAATATAACAATAGTAAATAGATAGATAAAATCAAATAATAATCATAATAATAATAATATATAGTATATGGAATAATGATAACAAAAAAAAAAATCAAAAAAAAAATCAAAAAAAAAAAAAAAAAAAAAAAGTAATGCATATAATAATAATATATATGATTTCATTATTTCCTTCACTATTTATACTATCATCATTATTATTATTATTATCATCATCTATTTACTTTTCGATTATTATTGCTTCGTTTTTAAATTGATTTTTTATATATATACATATTATATATATTATTTTTTTTAAAGTTATAATTAGTTTTACTAATTGCTTTTTATTTTTTTTTATCATTATTTTATCTATTGCGTATTTCACCATATTTATTATTTATATATATATATATATCCATATTTTGTGTTTTATTTTATATTTTTATAGATGATAGAAGAACACGGAGGTATAGTCCAACCAGATGGAAGTATCCAACCAATCGATATGTCAAGTTTCGAAAAACCACAACCAGGTTCAAAGAAAAAAGAAAAGAAATTAACACCAAAGAATATTAATCTTTTAGTGCAACAATCTAATCAATTACATAAAAAGGATGGTGAATATGACGAAGACTATGACGATGAATATGAAGACGATGATGAAGATTATGTAGATGACAAAAGAAAAGCAGCCCTAAAAGCTAAAAAACAAAAGAAAACAACTTTAAAGAAAAAAGCTATTGTAAGTTTTAAAAAAAAGAAAATTTTAGTTTAAAATTCTTTTTTTATAGTTGTTTTTTATCCTATTTTATTTATTATATCATATTTTTAATTATGTATAGTCCCTTTTTTTATTTTTTTTTATTTTTTTTTATTTTTTTAATTTTTAATTTTTTTTTATTTATTTATATATTGTAATTTAAATATTTATATATGTGTATTTCTATAATTGTTTATTTATATTTATCCTTTTATGCTCCATAATTCCCCTCCCATACTTCTCCCATATACATATCAATTGTATATTGTAAATTTTACAAAAAAAAAAAAAAACTCATTAATTAACTTTATTTTTTTAATTCACTTTAATCAATTTTATAAATAATAATAATAATTAATACAATCATATAATAATATTAATAATAATAAAAATTAATAACCCAATAGTATTAAGAATTAAAATATATGCCAGTTTTACAAAAAAAAATTTTATAAAAAATATAATAATATTAAATGTATAAAAAAAAAAAAAGTAAATAAATATATAAATAATAAAAGTAATAAATAATAAAATTTCAAAAGTAATAATAATCAAAAAATTACCACTTTTTTTACATTTAAGGTGTGGGATGAAGAGATAATTAAAAAAAAAAAAAAATATTTCTGCATAGGAAATATTTAATTTAGTACCTTAAATTTTCATTTTCATTTTCATTTTCATTTTTAACTTTTTTTACATCTTAATCTTACTTTTTCTTTATCTTTTTTTTTCTTTCAATACTAACTTCTATCTTTTAAATCACATTCTATTCTATAAACTCCATCTCTAAATTCTATTTACTTTCGCTTCTCTGTTTTCATTTCATCTCATTTCATCTTTTTTCATCTTTTCTAAATATTCGGATATTAAAGAAAGAACCAAAAGAAAAAAAACCACCTAAAGAAAAAAAACCACCCAAAGAAAAAAAACCTCCCAAAGAAAAAAAACCACCAAAAGAAAAAAAACCACCAAAACAAACCAGTAGAAAGAGACAAAAAATAAATATTTCTGCCACAATTAAAAACAATACTTTAAATAATAATAGTAATAATAGTAACAATAATAACCATGGTAACAATAGTAGCAATTGTAATTCAACTATTAATAATATTTACAGTACAGAATGTTTTGGTTTTAGAGATTCATGTGTTCCAATATTTATGAAAAACCAAGAGATTGTCAAAAAAGATGAATTTAGTATTGAAATACCTCATTATAGAGAAATTGAAGATTTAGATAATGATGGTTATTCTCTATTATCACCAAATCACTATAAGGGTAATTGGAAAGATGATAATTTTGATGCAAGTCAGGATGTTTCAAATCATTTGGATCAAAATGTAGTGGACCAACTAAATTCTTTTTCATTCGATGATTTAGTTCCAGCAGAAGAGAATCAATTTTTAATGGATGAAGAGTCAACAACACAATTAAATAAAAATGAAGCTCAAAAGCACCAACCAATATTAAGAAGTAGTGAAGATGTTGAAATCAGTATTAGTGATACTGACGATTTCGATAATGACATTAAAAATTCAACGCCATCTAAAACCATCAAATCATTACCGACATCAACAACACCAACAAGTACACCAATTTCTATTCCACAAACTAGAAGAAATAAAATAATTACAAATCCATTATTATCTTTCAACAATAACAACAACAATAATAATATTACACCAATTAAAACAAGGTCAAAAAAACTATCTGATAAAATGGAGCAAAGTAATGGTGATAAAAGTGGATCATTATTAGATTTATTAACATCAAAAAGAAAGAAAAAGCTCTAGATATTAAATTATGTTCCACACAATATTTTTGTAAATTAAAAAATAAAGTTTTAGCCAATTGGTTTTTGAAAAAATAAATAAGTATATTTATATTTTGTAATTATTTTTTATATAGTTTATATACACAATTTTATTTTATTATTTGATATTATTTTTTTTAACAAGAAACAGAGTGATATGGTAATAATGAAAATACAAAGTTTGGAGCAATTCTTTGTATTAATCTTGAGAAAATTGATAAACCAAAAGCTGTGAATAAAATTCCACCAACTAAACCAGTTGAATTTGAAGTACTTCCACTAGCTAAAATAGAATTAGAATGGTTAATATTAATTTTATAAAGATATTTTTTTATGGTTCTATATATTAAATCTAATTATATATTTTTGCTTACCATAAGCAAAAGATAAAAGAGTGCATAAAACTAATAAAATTGATAAAAGATAATTTGTTTGCATTTTAATTGAAAAACGATGTGTATAAATAATTTATTAAAATGAAAGTTTTTTTAAAATGAAAAAAAAAATTTAAAAAAATTTAAAAAAAAAAAAAAAAGAAAAAGATCAGAAACAAAATATTTTAATTTAATAATAAATTTCTTATTATTTTATTTTAAATATAATGTTGGATATATTAATAAAACATTAAACCCTTTTCGTGCACACCTAATTTTTACCCATTATTTTTTAAATTGTTGTGTGTACTATTACATTTGATATTCAAAGAATGAAAAATTTAAATTAATGAATTCATTGTTTATAAAAAAAAAATTAAAAAAAATAAAAAAAATATTTTTTTTTTTATTTTTTTTTTATTTTTTATAATTTTTTTTATAAATTTTTATATTATTTTATTTTTATATTTTATTAATATTGTAGTTTATATATATCTATATGTAATAGATCTTTTTAAAAATGACTTTAGTTAGGTATTTTTTAAAAAATGGAGTAAATCAAATCAATAAATCTGCATCAAACAACCATCATAAACTTTGTAGTTTTAATGGCGTTTTTAGATCATTTACCACTTCAACACACTCTCCACCAATCGTTAATGAAGATGTAGGTTTTCAAAATAAAATTAAGAAAAAAGAAAAAAAAAAAAAAAAAAAGTTTTAATATCAATTTTTTTATTTATAATTTCTAGTTCAAAACCAAAAAAATTATAGCAAAAGATTTACAGAAACAAACTTTAAGATCAATGGAAGATGCATACGATATTATGGATGGTTATAATAAATCAACTTATCCAGTCAAATCACCATTATCATCATCATTAGGATCATTTAAAGAAAGTATTGAACAATTAAAAGATAGTTCTTTTTTATTAGTTGTTGTTGGCGAATTTAATAGTGGTAAATCATCATTTTTAAATGCATTATTAGGCAATATCTATTTAAAGGAGGGAATTACACCAACTACACACCGTATTAATATTATCGAGTTTGGGGATAAGATAACAAGTAAAACAGTTCCAAGTAGATTAAGCAATACCGAGCATGAAATCATTACATTACCTGTCGAATGGCTAAAAGATTTTTCATTAGTCGATACTCCAGGTACCAATGCTGTTATAGAAGGTCATCAAGAAATTACAGAGCATTTTGTCCCAAAGAGTGATTTGGTATTATTTGTTACATCGATCGACCGTGCATTTAGCGAAAGTGAAAAGCAATTTTTAGAAAAAGTAAAGAAATGGGGTAAAAAAATTGTTGTTGTCATCTCAAAAACAGATCTAATCGATAATAACCCACTTTCAAATAATCCACAAGAAGAATTAAATGAAGTAATTAAATTTGTTGAAGATAATTTCAAATCCCAATTAGGTGTATCACCAATTATTTTCCCATTATCATCAAAATTAGCATTAAAAGCAAAGTTACAATTAAGTGGCACCAGTATTTTAAATCCAAATCAACAACAATCACAATCACAACAAGTAAACTATAATAACTTATTATCAGCAACCTCAGTTTCAAATAATTATAGTAAATCAACACAAAAATTCTATGAAGAATTAAATCAAAATCAACAATGGAAGAATAGTAGATTCTTTGATTTAGAGAACTATATTTTACAAACATTGGACAGCAACGAGCGTATCAAATTAAAGCTTTTAAATCCTTTGGGCGTCGCCGATAAATTATACAACGAGTTTGAAGAGGAATTTTCATCACAACGTAATGTTTTAGATTTTGATTTCGAAAATATTAACCAATCGCTCGAGCAAATATCAGAGCATCAAAAAGATTTACAAAGAGATTTAGATTACCATTTAGAAAGAATTGATACCATTCTCTTACGTATGGAAAATCGTGCAAATGCATTTTTGGATGATGAAATTCAATTTTCAAATATTTTCAACATATTAAAGGGTGATGCTATAAAGAACCAATTCGAAAAAAAAGTTATTGATGGAACCAACCAAGAAATTGAAACATTGGTTAGAGATCTTGTAGATATTGTAGTTGATAAAAATATGAAGAGATGGAAAGTTATCATGGATTTAATTAACCAAAAATCATCAAATAAATCACAAAAAGTTATTGGAGTCATAAAGAATACTCGTGATACAAGCGATTTCTCTACCAACAGACAAAAGACAATACAAGATATGGGTTCAAGAACAGCCAAGGCACTTTCCTCCTATGACAAAGAGAATGAATCGACCAATGTTAGCAAAGATATAAAGAATGCAATTTATCAAACAATTCTTTTTGAAGCAGGTACAGTTGGTGTTGCAACTATTCTAAGTACAACCCTTTTAGATATCACTGGTATTCTTGGTTTTGGTGCATTAGCTGTAACTGGTTTAGCATGGGTACCATTTAAAAAGGTTCAATTAAAAAGATCTATCAACTCAAAGATTTCAAATCTTCGTGTACAACTTAAAGATACTATTTCAGATCGTATTGGTGATGAAATTAGAGGTGGAACCGATAAAATCCAAGATGGTATCCAACCTTATGTAGATTTTACTCAATCAGAAAGCAAGAAAATTACAGATATGACAAATAAAATTAATGAATTTAAAAAAGAAAGACAATCATTGGTTTATGAAGTCGATAAATATTTTAAATAAAAGATATTGGAAATAATCAAATACAATAAAAAATAAACAATTTATAACTATTTATAATTAAATAGTCTATATACTAAATATATTTTATTTTTTATTTTACAAAATAGTGTACTATTACTCTATTATATTTATTTTTTTAAATTATTATTATTATTATTATAACTATTTAATTATATAGTTACTTTTAATAATTAAATTATTAATTATTTCTTTTATTATTATTATTATTATTATTTTTACTATCATTTAATTTATTGATATTTTACTGTTTGAATGTGAATGATTGTGTGAACGATGTTCATTTGGATCTTTAATTAGACCATCTTTGATTGTATGCTTGATTTTACTTCTATAGTGCACAACTAATTTCATAAATGTTGAAACGTCACCTTTTATATTTTTATCTTCGCCGTGAGAAAACTTTAAAAGATTTAAAATCTCTTCAAATTCCATTTTTAAAAGTTGATCTTCGTAGATTTTAAAGAGAGACAAACAAGCGGCAAATATAACTACAAGACCATCGTAGAGGAAAAGATCCCAAATACGGACTATATAGGGGAATGGTAAATTATAAATTAAAAGACAAATAAACCATTGAGATGCAAAAAGTGGTGTAAATACATTTTGCTTTTGGAAATGAGAATGTAACTGTGGGAAATGAGTCTCTAAAAGTGTATCTAAAATACCAAAACTAGTTTGAAGGTATGGGAAGTCTGGTTTCCACATTTCTGACATACCATAACGCTCTGTTAATTGAATAAGACTCCAAAATGCATCTTCTTCGGCCATATAAATTAAAAGTAGACATGTAATGAAACCCATACCTTGACAGTAACCAACCTCTGGATTATAGATTGAAAATGCTGTTAAAATATTTGATAAAATTTGTTGTCCCATACCACCTTTTTCTTGGAAGAAACTGTGTTTTGGGAATGTTCTATCGAGATCTCTTTGAATTTGTGCATGAACAGCCTGTGGTAATGGTTTGGTTAATAGTTCAGTGTAACTAACTTTTGCCTTGTTTTTGATTGAAACAGTTTCGAATAATTTTTTCCATGCACTTCCACGAACTGAGCTTGGGATACCTTTAGGTAAACGTTCACGGATTTTTGATGAGGTAAATGATACCTCAAATTTGATAAGTTTAACCCATTTTCTTTCAATTTTTTCCATTTTTTTAGTTTTAATTTCTTCATCGTTCAATTGGTTTGGATTTGATGTTTTAACGAAGCCATATTTATCTAATTTTGGTGTAACATCTGGTGAGGTTGTGTTGTGTGTTGTACTATTACTACCACTACCAGTACTACTGTGAATATTAGATGATGTACTAGTTGCAGTGCTAATAGTTAAATTTGAAATAGTTGTTGTAGTTGTCGAAGTTGAGTCGGTTGATGGTGTTCTGCTATGTAACGATGATGATCCATCTTCATTGGGTGATAAATGTTGACTATTTAATGGTGAGTGTTGAATTGATCCATGATTTTCATCTTTGGTCATTGAAAGTATAGCAGGTGATAAATTTGATTCTACTGAGATTATATATTGTTGTTTTTCTGCTTCATTTGAATTTGGTGATGGTGTGGTTACAATAGATGAAGATGATGATAGTGAATTATTGTTAGTTGCAGTGGTTGTGGTTGTTGTACTGGTTGTTGTGGTTGTTGGAGGTATTGGTTGTGATTGTTGTGGTGGTGATTGTTGTGGTTGCTGTGGTTCAACATCTTCTTTAAAACTATTACTACTATTAAATGATATACTATTACTACTACAATTTAAACTATTACCACTTGTGCTATTATATAAATTTGTTTGTTGAGATTCAATTTTTGGTGATTGATAAATTGGGGAATGAGTTTTATTGCTGTGAACTTTTGATTTTTGTTTTTTATGTTTTTTAATTTCCTCAATTGGAGTTGAAAGTAATGCTATAACTTGTGGGTCTTTAGTTAGATTTTTTGGAATTTTACCTGTTAAATCTTTAATATTTGCGTCTGCACCTGCTCTTAATAGTAATTCTACACAACCAACATGACCTTTATTTGCAGCATAATGTAATGCTGTTCTTCCTCTTTTGACATCACTATGTAAAAAAAAAAAAAAAGAATATTAGTTTAAATATTTAAAATATTATTTTTATAAAATTATTGATATTTACGTTATATCTAATTTACAGTTACGACGAATTAATAAACTTAAACAACCTTCGAAACCATTTGAAGAAGCATAATGTAATGGTGAGCAACCATCTAAAGCCCTTTGATCTGGATTGGCACCTTTATCTAATAAAATTTTAGCACATTCTTCGAAACCATTGAATACAGCATTGTGTAATGGTGTATAACCTTCACGATCAAAACAGTTAACTTCTGCACCCTTTTGAATTAACAGACTAACTGAACGTTCCCCACCTTTATAACAAGCTTGATGAAGTGCGGTACTATTACTATTGTCTTTGGCATTTACATTTGCACCGTGTTCAATTAAAGTTGCTAAACATTTAAAATTCTTACTACTTGCACTCTTAATAAGTGGTGTAATACCATGATTGTCTCTTGCTTCGATTTGAGCACCACGTTGAAGTAAAAGTTCTGCACATTTATGATAACCTGTAAATGAGGCTTTATGAAGAGCTGTATTGAAATCGATATCGTGACTATTTACATCAGCACCTGCATCTAAAAGTAATTGTACTACAGTTTTATAACCATTGAATGATGCATTATGAATTGGGGTGCAACCATCAATATCTGGAACATCTGAATATGCATTACTTGCTAATAATATTTTTACACATGGTTTATGACCATTGAATGCTGCATGGTGAAGGGCTGTGGTTCCTTTATCATCTAAACTATTTATACCAGTAAAATCTTGTTGTGGTTGATTTTGATTTTGTTGTTGTTGTTGTTGTAATGCTATTGCTGCTGCTGCTGCTGCTGCTGTTGGTGATGATGGTGAATGATTGTGTCTCGATGATTGTGGTGAACCGCCTGGTGATTTTATATTCTGTGCTCCACCAACTTTGCCTTGTGTAAATAAAATTAATGAAACTAAACGGTCATATTCACCTTTATATGCTGCTTCGTGTAATGGGTATGTTTTTGGTTGATTTGGGTTTGGAGTGGGTAGTCTTTTATTTGTAGATCCAAGTGAACTTAAACTACCAGAACTACTTTGTTGTTGTAATAGTGGTGGATGTGCTGGTACTTGTAGGTGTTGTATTGTTGGTTGTAATGGTGGTAATGGAGGTGGATGTTGTGGTGGTATTGAAAAACTATCAGTTGAAACTGTCAACTCTGATGTATCAGATGTTGTTGTGCTTGATGTTGAGTAGTCTGTATTGTTATTATTAATATTGGCATTTGAAATTTCAGATACAATAGTATCACCCATTTTTTTTATTATATTTATATTATTAGTTATTTTTGGTTATTATTTTTTTTATTTTTTTTGTTATTTTAATAATAGTTAAAAAACTATTATTATAATGTTGTTTACTAATGACTATATATATACACAAATCTTTATAGTAATATCAAAAAAAAAAAAAAAAAAACTATATTTTATTTATTTTATTTTGAAAAAAAAAAACACACACCAACTGTTATTTTTTTTGTTATTATTTTAATAAATAAATAATAAATAAATAATAAAAATAAATAAATAAATAATTGAATAAATAAAATAAATAATAATAGATGAATTTATAAAAAATTATTATATATAGAAAAAATCTATTTAAATGATTTTTTTTTTTTTTTTAACAAAAATAAAAAAAAATAAAAAATTTTTTAAAAAATAAAAAAAAAAAATTTAAAAATAAAAAAAAATAAAAAATAAAAAAATAAATTTGTAAATCTTTTTTTTGTTGTTTAAAATTTTAATATTGAATATTGTATTATTTAGTAATTTAAATTCTTTTTATATATTATTATATTTTATATTTTATTATTTTATAATCATTATTATTTTATTTCTATAATCAAAAAAAAAAAAAAAAAATATAAATATAAAAAAAATTTGGAGAAAAAAAAAAAAAGTTTAACAACACTAAAATTATTATAATAAAATAATAATACTTTTTATTTTTTTTATTTTATTTTTTAATTTTGTTTGTTTTTGTTGTGTTTGTGTGTTTTTAAGTTAATTCAATATTATTATTATTTTTATTATTGTTTTTTTTTTTCTATTTTTAATGTTTTTTTTTTTTTTCAAACAAATTATGATGACGATGAATATCCATATCCATATCCATATTTACCAAATAATTCAAATCATAATCTGAATATTAATACCCACCAAAATAACACAACCACTTAATTCTTTTTTATTTAAAAATTTTTAAATTTAAATAGTTATACAATAATATGGATGAGTGGCAAGTGTTAATCAATTAATAATAATAAATAATAAAATTAATAATAATAGTAATAAAATTAATATGGGGGATTTGGAAATTTTTTTTTGTGGGTGAGTGTGGTAAATTAATTGTGTTGTTGTGTGTGTTTTTTTTGTGTGTGTTTTTATTTATATTTATATAAAACATTGGTGTGTTAGAGAAAAAGTTTAGCTCAATATTGATGATAAATAAAAAAAAGAAAATTTAATATCACACACACTGCAGAACAACAACACTATTTGTTTTTTTTTAAATGTAACTATAAATTCATTCACTCATCATAATTTATTTGTTTTGTTTCCTTTTTTTTCATTTTTTTTTAAATTAAAATTACATATTATCTTAAAGAATTTTATAATTAAATCTAAAATGTAATACAACTATCAAATATAATTATATTTGATTTATCACTGATTCATCTTTTTTATAAAGACAATAATTAAATATTGTGTTTTGTAATATTTAAAATTTTAAATATTTTATTTTTTTTTTTCAATAAGCAATTATTTTGGTAAAGTATACATATATAAATTTTACCCCATGGATTTTATGCATAATGCAAATTAGTATTAAAATTAGTTTTATAATTTTAATAATGTTTTTATTTTAGGTTTACAGATATTTGAATTTTTATATATAAACGAAAATAGATTATCGTTTTAAATCAATAATAATTAAGTATTAGATTAACATGCAGTGAAATCAAATTTAAGAGTTGAATGGTTAGGAAATAGATTCAACACAGGGAATGTATGGTATTAGATAGAAATATAAGCAAGAAGTAGTTTATTATTATGCATCATTGAGTATTCTTACCCCTTATTGATGAAGATAAGGAAAGATAACTAAATCAAGTATTTCAAATTAATTTTAAAAAACCACTATAATAAAAAATTTAAAGTTTAATTTAATTTAAAAATTATATATTACATTTTTTATATTTTTTTATTTATTTTATTTGTGTTGTGTATTTATTTTTACTCTTTTTTAATTTATAATAAAAGACTATTTATATCTTAGATCCCAATTTGTAAAAAGAGATTCATAATTTTTATAAAAGTAGTGTGTAGTGGAATTGTTTTCTAAATAACGAGAGTCGAGTAGTTTGTAATTACCACTTGTTATATTTTTTTTGATGTAATGCTTTTGAAGGATTTCTATTATTTGATCTGCCAATTCTTTAGTTTCGATATAGGATGTTACAACAAAGAATAGTGATCCAAATAAGTTGTCGTCATGGTCGTTTAGTAGTAACAATAGGTTGATGAAATCTTTTATATTTGAATTGTTTAAAAGACAGAACGAGACTTGAAGGTGGATATCTAGTTTCAGTGATTTTGCAAATAAATACAATGCTCCATTACCATATATAAATATGTTTTTGTAAATTTCATATTGAATAACTTTAGTAATTGCATCGGAGTTTTGATCGCTATTATTATTATTTATTTCTTTTAAAAACTTTTCTATAATTCGAAACTCTTGAAATTTTGACGCAAAGTATACTAAAGTTTTTGAAAACCATATTTTATCAAAGGTACTATTGCTTCTTAATTTTTTATTTAAAAATAAAAATATATAGATTCTTTTTACCTCTCTTTCTAAATTAAAGTTGTCGAAGTTTAGTTTTGAAAATTCATCAAGAGAATTATTCTTTTCATTATTTGATGATGACGAGGAGGAGGTGCTACTTGATAGAAACGATTTAAATAAACTTCTTTTTTCTTTTTTCTTTTTGTTATTTTTATTATTTTGATTTAAATTATACAGTTGCTTTATATTTTCTATGGCTGTGTTATTTTCATCATTGTTATTATTTTGATATTTATTATTGTAGTCGATTAAATGCTTTATTATATTGCTAATTGAATCTGATGGTGATTCTGACAATGTGGGTTTGCTAACAATTTTATTATAATGGTATAGTAAATTTAAAATACAATTAATTTGATGATCAAATATTAAATTATTATTTGTATGCTCTTGAATTAGTTTATAACATTTTTTATTTATCGTGTAATTGTGGGTGTGGTTTGGGTAAAATTTAATTATTTTTTTAAATGATTTATGATCGATTAAAAATAGATAATTATAAAAATCTTCACTGAACAGGTTGCTTTCTGTTTTTGATCTAGTTGAATAGATGGATTGGTTTTTAAAATAATCTAAATCTTTTATTAAATATGGAACTAGGTCTAACCTATTGTCACTGATAATGGCCCATAATAGAATGTCGTCATATGCAAGTTGAAATATATCGATTTCGAGCTGTTCGTATAAAAACTTTACCATTTCCAATGAAGAACGAAGAAATGAGTTCATAATTAAAATTCTATTAGAATATACAAAAAATTTTGAATTGGCTTCACCTATTAATGATACCTTTTTGCTCTTTCTTTTTAGTGAGTTGAATATTGATTTGTAACTGAAAAAGATTTCATATTGGTCTTGATATACTATAGAAAACAACGATACTAAATTATGATTTACTATTGATTCAATAACAGTGCTTTCTGGACTATCCAAGCTTTTAAAATAATACTCTTTATTTAGATGATAAAAGTCTTTAATTTCATCAATTGTTATTCTTTCTTTATTCTTTTTTAAAAATTTACATAGATTAACTATATCGTTTTCTTTTTTAGTTCCATCAGTTGCTGTTGCTGTAGTTTTAGATTTTATTTTATCTCTAAAAAGATATATATTATTGGTTTGAAAAACACTGCTATATGGTACATCTTTTAAAAAATATTTATTTAATGGTTTTGGGTAGTGGTTATCGCTGCAATACTGTTTAATATAATCATCATTTAATTTATATATAAAATTATTTATATAATTTGATAAAAATTTATTATTAAATATTTTTTTATATAATATATAGTTTAAATTTTCTTCTTCATTATTATTATTATTATTATTGATGATGATGTTTTTATCCATATTCTATGATATTTAATACATTCATTTACTATTGAACAAAAAAAAATATAAAATTTTAAAAAAACTAAAAATAAAAAAATTAATTTTTAAAAAATCTTTTTTTTTTTTTTTTTTTTTATTTTTTTTTTTTTTTATTTTATTATATCTTTTAGAAGTTTTTTTTTTTTTTTAAAAATAACTTCTAATATAATTTAAATAAAAAGATTAAAATTAATATTTGTTTCAAATTTTATTCATTTATTTTTTAAAGTAAAATTCCCCTATTTATAAAACTGTTTTTTTCCCATGACATAAAAAGAGACTTATGATTTTTATAGACATATCTTGCAAATGGTAGATGAATGATATTGAGCGCACTTAGTTTATTGTATGGTTCTTTACCAACATAAAATTGAAGAAGGGTTGTAATTAGCTTTTCCATATCTTCTGTTGTTTCAAAAAATATTTGGATTGAAAAAAATAGTTTTTGAAATAATAATCCTTGATTACATTCTAAGAGTAGAACCAAAAGATCCAGATACTCTTCTATTGCACAATTTGGATCCATTTCAAATACTTTAATGTGAAAAGATTCGAGATCCGGTACTATATTGTTTTCTATGGCATATTTAAAAAGATTTTGGTCCCTATAAGCAAATATATTATTGAAAACTTCCTCTTTAATATTTTCAGTATCTGATGTATAGGAATTTAAAAGTGTTTCAATGATTTCATATTCTTTATATTTTGTCGCAAAGTAAATTAATGCAGAGTGAAAATCTTTTAATTGTCCATATTCGCCCATAACTGACTTCCTGTTTAAAAATTCAAATATATAAATTCTCTTTACCTCTCTTTCTAAACTAAAGTTTTGATAGTTTGTGGCCTGGTATTTCAAAAGATGGATTTTATAATTGCTATTTTGAAGGTCATTTAGGGTAAAAACTTGGGGTTGAGGGTCTGAGAATATTGAAACTACCTTATTGAATATATTATTTTCCTTTTCAACAACCACTTCATTGTGAGCGAGTTCATTTTTTAAAAATGGTGAGGAGGAAGAAGGTGGTTTTTCCTCTAGGTATTTAAAAACAAATACCTTTTTCTTTTTATATTTATTAATGATTTCTTTTATAAAAGTATCAGTTATTTTATTTTCGTCAGTTGCTCTGTTTTCGTACTGAATTAATTGATTTATAAGTTTTAAATTACTTTTAAACCACGATT